TGTTCTGAGCCGTTCGTGCCCTTTGAACCTACCTGTCAGAAACCATCTGTATTTGCACATCCCAGCTAAGGCTGCTGTCAAACTTTTCCAACTTTTTTTTCCTACTGCATCAGTTTTCATCCCTCCGGACAGAATTTCCTCAGGTTCTCCACCCACCAAAGACATCCCAAAACATGACGAGGAACAAGGAAGCAGCAGGGCACGTACAGCTATGAAAAGCCAATTTTTACCCGCACAAGTCCCCCCAAAATTTCAGATCTCACCCCAGAGTGTTGCAAGGCTCCCAGCTCCATGTTTGCTGAGCAGCTTTCTATCCTCTCCAACAGTGGGCCCCTCCATGCGTCCCAAGCGCAAGCAACGCGTTGGGTTGGGGTCCCCGTTCCATACCCCCAGCAGAGCATCCCCAGCGCTGGGGACCACAGGCTCTGCCAGAGCCACCAGTGTCACTAGATGGCGGCAATGCCTTGCATCCATGGAGGAGATGCACGAACGCAGCCTCAGGGAAGCCTTGATCTGCTTGCACCCATCTTCTCCCACCTTCTCACAGGTCCCTCCACCCTTCAGGCCATGGAAACCCAGCCATCCTGGATGTTCCCAGAGGGAACACCTCTCCAAAGAGCCCCTTTTTGGTAGAGGAGGCAGGGATGATGTCCTGCAGCGGGAGGCCAGGCTACGAAGGTGGCTGACCTGAGCCAACACAAGGGAAGGAGGTTCTTCATGTTGACCCCATCTTCTTTCTGAGATCTGATCTGGGGTTTTATCACTCCCCTTCCCTGGGGGTCTCTGGAGCCTAACCCCGGGGAAGACTCCAAAAGGGGCACATGGAAAGAGCCCAACTTGCATCAGGGCCAGAACATGCCAAATTTGATAAAAATGCATCACATAAGCCTGAACAACATAAAAATCTCCCCACATCTCCCAGTCCTGTCTCTGCCTATGAGGTGTCTGGTGTCTGAAAACCATACACAGACACAAGCTTTCAGACCTACAAGCGACCCAAGCAACACCAGGCAGGTCCAGCAAGTGGGTGATGTTTGGGGTTTTGCAATGCCATTTACTACCCGGTGCAGAGTACATCCCAGTGGGAAGTGTGTTATGTTGTCTGAAAAAAAAGTATATATAAGCTTGTCAGTGGGGGTTGTTGAGGAAGTTATGTGTCCCCTGCCCTCTCATGCACAGATATATGAACTTTCACAGAGAAAACAGGGAGATTCCAGGTAAAAATTATAAGCTTTTGGCCAGAAATCAAACTATTTTGGTTCTGCCTTTCTCAGAGGCAGAACCACACGTTGGCAAGGTTCAGAGATCCATAGCAGGCAGGGGGCTAGGGAAGTTTGCAGAGAGTGCCTTTAGCTGCACAGGCAAACATGGACCCAGAGTCATTTGTTTGAGCCTCACGTCAAGGAGCTATAAGGC